CAAGACTGGCTGAGTGGGACCCATCCCCACTTTCTTTGCCAAGTTCCAGTTACTTTAACTTTATATGTTTCTGCTTCATAAATATATTTAAATATTAATAACTGTTTGCATTAAAGTAACTGTGTTCCCTCAAAATTTATTTTAATTGATTTCATATTCTTCCTTATAGACTTCATCTGAGAAGGAGCGTTTAGGGGCTCTGGAATTACTATGCTTGTAGTTTAGTGTGGGTTTAAAACTTTGAATGTTAATGTGGCCAATTTTTCTATTTTTCCTCTCTCTCTCTCTCTTTTTTTTTTTTTTTAAATTTCAGGTCACAGCCAAGTATGTCATCATCTTTATTACTGTGCAGTACAACGTTACGTACACCACTGGTAAGAATAAAGCAAATCCACCGTCTATTTCTCTATAGCATAACAACCCAATTATAAAAAGTTCTCCATTTATAAATAATAATGGTCTTACTGCTAACTCATTTCACTTGTATTTCACAGAATCTTTCTTATTTCTTTTTTGTCTTGGGGATTTCTAATGTTCTCACCATTATAACACCTAAGCTCCTAGTTCTTCACTAGTGATAAGCAATTACCACTTTTGATTTTTTTTGCTATAGTTAATACTGCTATTGCACCACAGCTTCACTTGATTAGGCATGGTGTGCCTTCCACTTGCTTTTTATAACTTGGTGCTTTTCATACCAAGTAGAATATTTTGTAACTCTGAACGTGGTTTCCTAAATGTTTCCCATTTTTAATCACACATTGTCTTATGTTCTTAAATGGATTAATTTATTTTTGTCTTTAAAAGTTACAGACATTACTTCAGGGATGACTATCTAAAATAGCTAGATCCTGAATAATGGCATAAGATATCAGAGGTCTGACTCACATACTTAGAATCATAGAATATCAGGGTTGGAAGGGACCTCAGGAGGTCATCTCGTCCAACCCCCTGCTCAAAGCAGGACCAATCCCCAATTAAATCATCCCAGCCAGGGCTTTCTCAAGCCTGACCTTAAAAACTTCTAAGGAAGGAGATTCCACCACCTCCCTAGGTAACGCATTCCAGTGTTTCACCACCCTCCTAGTGAAAAAGTTTTTCCTAATATCCAACCTAAACCTCCCCCACTGCAACTTGAGACCATTACTCCTTGTCCTGTCCTCTTCTACCACTGAGAATAGTCTAGAACCATCCTCTCTGGAACCACCTCTCAGGTAGTTGAAAGCAGCTATCAAATCCCCCCTCATTCTTCTCTTCTGCAGATTAAACAATCCCAGTTCCCTCAGCTTCTCCTCATAAGTCATGTGTTCCAGACCCCTAATCATTTTTGTAGCCCTTTGCTGGACTGTCTCCAATTTATCCACATCCTTCTTGTAGTGTGGGGCCCAAAACTGGACACAGTACTCCAGATGAGGCCTCACCAATGTCGAATAGAGGGGGACGATCATGTCCCTCGATCTGCTCGCTATGCCCCTCCTTATACATCCCAAAATGCCATTGGCCTTCTTGGCAAGAAGGGCACACTGCTGACTCATATCCAGCTTCTCGTCCACTGTCACCCCTAGGTCCTTTTCCGCAGAACTGCTGCCTAGCCATTCGGTCCCTAGTCTGTAGCTGTGCCTTGGGTTCTTCCGTCCTAAGTGCAGGACCCTGCACTCATCCTTATTGAACCTCATCAGATTTCTTTTGTTCCAATCCTCCAATTTGTCTAGGTCCCTCTGTATCCTATCCCTGCCCTCCAGCGTATCTACCACTCCTCCCAGTTTAGTGTCATCCGCAAATTTGCTGAGAGTGCAATCCACTCCATCCTCCAGATCATTTATGAAGATATTGAACAAAACCGGCCCCAGGACCGACCCCTGGGGCACTCCACTTGACACCGGCTGCCAACTAGACATGGAGCCATTGATCACTACCCGTTGAGCCCGACAATCTAGCCAACTTTCTACCCACCTTATAGTGCATTCATCCAGCCCATACTTCTTTAACCTGCTGACAAGAATACTTCTCGCTTCACATCCCATCAGATAAATTTATTTTAAAATTACACAATTGACTTGAAATCTATCCAATATATATTTAAAAAATAACTTCAGGAACTACACCTGCCCTTGAGTCTTGTTACCAATTTTTGTAGGTGTAATCACATTTTCCTCTCTCTGTATCTATGAGACACCTCACATCTTCCAACTCCTGCAACAAATGAGGCAGCAGTCCTATAGACAACAGCCTCATACACTGTACAACTCTGATTCATTCCTACAGCACTGTCCTTTCTCTGCACTGACAGAGGCAGAGGTGCTGTGGGAAAAAATAGCATATGGTCATGTAATTAAAGACTGTATTATAATGTATACACAGCAGGAGGTTGAACTATGGTTTTATGGGCACCCTTAATTCTGGCACCCTTCAGTACTTAATTTTGCAATCTTAACATTCCTTCAGCATAGTGTATTTTGGGTGTAATAAATAAATAAAATAATCCAACAACCCCACAACACTGAAAAAGCAGAATTTGACCCTAGTTTGTCACCAGCAAGGCTCAGACATTTATGTCCACTCTACAGATATCCACCACTTGAACTAACAGAGTAATTGGTAGCAGTAAGAGACTGTTATCTCCATGTGGGCCAGCCACAAGCAGGGGATGATTCGCACAGTTTATCAATAGGGCAAAGTGAAGATGAATATAGAGCAGAGGAATATAGAGACTCAAGTCTTGGGTTTAATTCCATATTCTGAAGGGGAGTGGTTTTTTTTAGTGGTTATAGACCTCTGTAATCCTCTTTCCACCCTCATGCTCCCATTCCCACCCCAACATTCCTTTCTCACCCTTCTGCATTCCTGTTAGACTTCCTCCTTTTCCTCCATGCTGCCTGGAAGCCAGTAACAGAAGCAGTGAGAGCACAGGCAAGACAGTGTTCTTTGAGTAGTTTAAGACATGTATTCCACTCAGGCGCGTGTGTGCCTAGCACATCAAAGTTGGAGAATTTTGCCTACCAGTATCAGTAGGGGCAGCACTTATGCTCCTCCTTTCATAATCCCTCCCATGGCTATATAAGGGTGGTGCTGCCTGACCCCCTCTCAGTTCCTTCTCACTGCCCCCAGCTAAAGTTGCAGCGCTTAGTGTGATCTTTCTTCACACTTGTCTTCACAGCTCTTTGTAACTTTTTGTACATATTTATAGTTTAGTACCCTTACTTAGATGGTTTCTCCCTGTGGGATGTCCTGACTGGGGTTTAAACATTGCCCTTCTTGTGGGGCAGCTATCCTATCTCCTATCCTCGGAGGCAACTGCTGAGACAGTACATCGTTTCAAGGACTTGCAGGCCATGCTACGCTCATTGGAGATTTATAACCAAGCCGCAAAGAGACTGCATTTTGGGAACCAACAATGGCAATATTGTTCTCACTGATATTTTCATCAGTCCGCCTACCCCATGAGGCAGCAAGATTTCCTTAGAAAGGGGCACAAATCATGGAGGAGGAAACCTTCTTGGTCTAGTTTTAGTCAAATGGTCTGTCCTCTTCCTTCTTCAGCTAGACAGTCTATTTGAGTGGCGTTTCGAGAGCAGCACCATTGTTGTCAATGTCATATCCATGCTCCAAATATTTGGGGATAGGCTGTCTCACTTCTACAGTGCTTGGGAGACAATAAATATGGACAGATGGGTCTTAAACGCTGTGGGATTGGGTTACGCCATTTGTTCCTATCCATTCCACCCTCCAATCTTCCTGTCCCTCTAGAGGAACCCCTATCGTGAGTCACTGCTGTTACAGCAGGTACAAACCCTGTGTACTCTAGGAACTATAGAGGAGGTTCCTTATCTTTATGGAAAGGGGTTTTGTTCCCAATACTTCCTGATCCCCCAGATTCAAGGGAGGAATGAGACCTATCCTCAGTCTCCACGCTCTCCACAAACATAAGCAAGTACATGAGATTCTGCATGATTACCCTGGCTGCTATTCTTCCCATGGCTGAGGCAGCGTTGGTTTTCTGACCTCCCCTCTCTGTCAGCTTGACCTCCCAAACCTCTCACTCAACGTCATGGCCAGAATGTGTATCGAGCATTGAGTAGTCTGCACCTTAATGTGTGGAGGCTGCCTGGCTAGATCAAAGGAAGGAGCAATGCTTGGAGGTAGTTAGAGATTTTCTGCTTAATAGTAGAAAACCAACTACAAACTCTACCTATTTGTCTAAGTGGACAACAGTTTTTGATTTGGGCAACATCCAAAGACATTCAGCCCACATTAGTGCAGATTCAGGACACTTTTAGGATTATTTGCTGCATTTGAAATCTTCAGGTCTCTCACTGAGCTACTTGAAGGTTCGCTTGGTGGCGATCTCCTCTTTCCATTCTCCTATTCAAGTGAAGTTGATATTCTTACACCCTGTGATGGTGAGAATTTTTTTTTTAAGGGTGTTATCCATTTTTTCCCACCTGTGAAAAAAACAGTACCATTGTGGACTTTAATACAGTCCTGGCAGCGCTGATGAGTCCACTATTTAAGTCAGCAGCAACATGTTCACATGCTCTCCTCTCTCCGAAAATGGCCTTCCTTGTGGTTATAACACCTGCAGGAAGAGTTAGTGAGTTGCAGTCCTTAATGGCAGATCCTCTGTACACTTCAAGATCCTCTGTATACTTCAAGGACAAGGCAGTGCTTTAAGACTACACCCAATTTTTTGTCTAAAGTGGAATCTGTGTTTCACTTTAATCAGGTTATTTACTTATATTTTTTTCCCAAACCACATTCAAGTGCAAAGGAGCAGCATCTACATAACTTAGATGTCAGGTGGTGTTTAGCGTTTTATTTAGAGAGAAATAAGCCATTTCGTTTATCACCTTGAATCTTTGTGTCCTATGCTGAGCAAATGAAGGCCATGCAGGTCTGTTTCCATGCAGACCATATCCAAGGGGATTACTCTCTGCATTACCACCGCTTATGTAGTGGCTCAGTTGACACCTCTACAATCATTGCAGGTTAATTGAACCAGAGCTTAGTGGACATCTGCTGTGCTGCTTAGTGATGTCTCAACAGTGGATATCTGCAGAGCTGAATGGTCTTCTGTGGATACTTTTGCTAGGCATTTCACTATCACCATGGCATCAAGATTGGACGTAAATTTTTGGAATGCACTTCTGCGCACTAACTGATTAAAGACTCTGAGCCCACCTCCTGCTGGAACAGCTTGTGAGTCACCTGAGTGGAATACAACTCTGCAAGCAGTCGAAGAAGAGACTGTTGCTTACCTGTATTGTAACTGTTGCTCTTCAAGATGTGGGTGCAGATATGTATGGCATGACCCATGCTCTGCCCCTCCACATCGGAGTCTCCAGCTGGGAGGAACTACGGAGTTCAAAGGAACTACGGAGGGTCCGGGCAGTGCTGCCCTTATGTAGCCATGAGAGGGGTTATGAGGGGAGAGGACGAGCACCATCCTACACTGACTTGGGTGTGCGGACAGCTGAGTTGAATACATGTCTGCACCCACATCTCCGATGCATCAAAACACTAGAGCTTCTCAACAAAATGGTTATAAGATTTATTTAATTTGAACAAAATAGCATACTTCCCTAATCTCATCCTTAGAAATCACTGAACCACTTTATCTGAAACACTGGGGTGGGGGGGAATCAGCTTGAGGCAGGTACCTGCCATGGGAAACTTCAGCCTGAACAGTTAAAGTCTGGAAACACAGTAATAAGCAACTGAACACAGGCTCTTTAAATGGTAAGTGTCAGACAATCTTAACTACAGGTTTTGCTACATGCATTGCCTATAATAAGAATAACCTGTCTATGCCTGAAAGGCATAAGTGCCGACTCCGTGGGTGCTCTGGGGCTGGAACACCCACGGGGAAAAAATGGTACTGGCAGCCCCCCAGTCAGCTCCCGGCCCTCCCCAGAGCCTCCTGCCCACTGGCGGGCCCCATGAATCAATTCCTCCTCCCTCCCTCCCGCCGCAATCCACTGTTTCGTGGCGTGAAGGCAGGAGGCTCTGGTGGGGAAGGGGAGAGGAGCAAGGACACGGCCCTCTCAGGGGAGGGGGCAGAACGGGGTGGGAAGAGGCAGGGTGGTGGAGCAGGGACGGGAAGAGGCGGGCAGGAGTGGGGCCTTGGGGGAAGGGGTGGAGTGGGGGCGGAGCCAGGGGTCAAGCACTCCCTGGCACTTTCAAAAGTCGGCGCCTGTGCTGAAAGGACCTTACACTTGTTCTCTTCACCCTCCCTGTGCATTCAGTATTTCTTTACGTAATGTTTTCATATTGTGTTTACTAAATTTGCTGTTTTTACAGAAAACAAAATATTCCAAGTCTAGGAAAAACAAAACAACTATGCTCATTATCTTTTTGGGCAAAAGCCTTTATGCTTGTAATTGAATATTACCTCACCAACCTTGCTTCATTGATTAGCAGAAACCCCCAGCTAATTTTTTCATACATTACTGTTTGCAAGCAGTGATGGATATGGAATATGTAGGTCAGGGGTTCTCAGATTGTGGGTCAGGACCCCTCAGGGGATCACGAGGTTATTACATTGGGGGGTCATGAGCTGTCAGCCTCACCCCAAACCCCGCTTTGCCTCCAGCATTTATAATGGTGTTAAACTATATAAAAAATGTTTTTAATTTATAAGGGGGGTCGCACTCAGAGGCTTGGTATGTGAAAGGGTCAACAGTACAAACGTTTGAGAACCACTGAATTGTAGGCAGATGCTCTTTCCCTCCCCCAAAAGGGGGGGGGGAATAAATGTGCTCTGCTGTAAGCAATGGGATTCTGCTTTATTCTTTCACTAAACTTATGTCTGAGGGAATTCTGTGCCAAAAAATTAAAAATTCTGCACACAATACTTTAAAATTCTGCAAAATTTTGTATATTTTATTTCTCAAAATAACACAATATAAGCACATCAGTTTCAATTATTTTCTGTCATTTATTTCAAAATACATGTCAACAAGTATGTCTGTAACAATACAGACAACACAAAAGATTCAGGAAATGTTTTTTGACAAATAGGTTCCTTACTAGGCATATTAATACAGAACTCTGAGTAATAATTCATTTAAATTACAATACAGAACCATAATTCCCACACCCCTCAGAAGCAGTGCAAAGGCTTGGGGAAGTTAGGGTTAATGGAGAAGCTGAGGGAGAGGGAAGTGAATTGCTGGGAAAGAGCCTGCATGTGAACTTCGAGGGTTGTTGGGTATGGGTGGAGAAAGTATGGAACAGGTTTTTAAATTTCAGTGGATATGTAAGATGCCCTTTTTAGAGAGAGGGTAAATTACTTACTTATAATTGATCCATGAAGCTGAGCTACATAGATCCATACATTGATGGTAATATCCTTTCTCCATACAGCTACACTTCTTGAGATGGAATTTTGCTGGGTCTCTATATTTTCTATGGCGTAGGCCAGAAAGAACTAATAGAGGCTGACACACAATGGTACTACCCATAGCATTTCCCTTCCAGTCTTACAATTATAGTTTTGTTTGCATTTGGGGTGGGGAATACTCCAAACTATTTGAGGGGGGATCAGAATTAATTTGCCAAAGATGCAAGAATTTGGATACGTAGGATACTATGTGCCAGAGAACAAGTAGATAAGGTATTTATCCTTTCTCTGTTGCATAGAACATTTCATAAGTAAATGCGTTCTATTCAAATAGATATTTTTGGAGTAATTAAAACTTTGTTTCAGATGACAGGAGTGAACCCATTCATTTCTATGAATATGGTCCAAAAGATATTGCCACCATCTTCTTCTACATGCTTATAGCCATTATTCTGCATGCTGTGATCCAAGAATACATACTAGATGTAAGTTAACCATGGGAATATAATTTACTTATGTAAATTATTTATTTAGGCTGTTTTTTACACGTTTGTTCTGCTAGTCTTACATAAGATAACACCAGCACTTGTATAAGTCATGTTGCAAAATAAAATAAAATCATGTAGGTGTATTTACGCATTACATGCTGGTGGTTCCTTTGTCATTCGATATAAATATTATTAGATTCTGGAAATGTGTCTATATAACAATATATTTAATGAAATAATATTTAATCACAGTTTCTCTGACTCTTCTAGTATTCTCCATTAGTAAGTGGATGGAAAAAACAGGAGTTTGTCTACTACATCGAACCTTCGTGTCCCTAAAATTTTAAATTGGAAGTCAGTATAGAAACTGTTTAAACTAAAAATAAATAAATAAATAAAAAATGCTGCCCCCCTTCCTCCATTTTGCTTTATTGGAAATGTTTTGATTTAATATGAATTAATATCTAAATGTACTTTCCACTCTTCCTTTTATCTAAAGCTGGGGGCGGGGGGGGGGGAGAAAAAAGCAGAACATAAGAATTTCTTTAACTAGTGAATTTTTTCACTTTTGTTTTCCACGCAATTTTTTTTAACCTCAGTCTTTAATGGTGACCATTGACATTCCTCTGCAATCGCTGTAAATCTACAGAGTTAGGTTTTGACTGTAAACTTCTGGGTTTTCATTTTTTGCCTCTTTGCCAAATAACTTCTCAGATTTGTGACTTGCTTAAGGTTCCGATATTTTCATTGTTGTATATGCATGCTAGAGCTCCATTACCTGGAAATATGAAATATAAAGGGCCTGGTCAATCTGGCCTTACAATGACACCTGCAGCATCAGACCCTAACTAAGTAATAAGGCTCTCATCCTGAAAAAAAAAATACATGACTAAATTTAAGTACATAAGCACTTCTCATATAGGCATCAGTATGACTTCTCACACACAAAGTTAAGCACCCATGTAATATTTTTCAGGATCAGAGCCTAACATGAGGAATGGAAGATCTTGGAGGTAACGGCTACTTAATTGAGGGCTAAGTGCCAAGTAGCTTGCTTTTTTTTCCTCTACCAATAACAATAAAGTAAAATATTAATCTGTTTTTTATACCCCCAAATGTGTTCCTTGTTTTCAGAAAATTAATAGACGTCTCCATTTGTCAAAAACGAAGCACAGCAAATTCAATGAATCGGGGCAGCTAGCATTTTTCTATTTGTTTTCATTTGCCTGGGGAGCAAGTATTTTGACTGCAGTAAGTAAGTCAAATTGCTATCTGTATTTGTTTTAAAAATACACATCTAAAATATTATGAAAGTTCTTAAATGACAACTTTTTTTCCAGGAAGAATTCATGACAAACCCTACTTTGTTATGGAAAGACTATCCCCATTCTCGCATGTTGTAAGTGTTTTTTATTCTCTTTTTTTCTAACTGTTTGACAGTTGGCTACCAGAAATTTGTTTTGGTAATATAAACAATGTAGACCATTTTCATTTGTATTAGTGACCAATAGCTGAAAATCCTTTGTTCTGTATTCCAAGTGTGAGTGTGCGTGAGGGAGGGGGGGTGTTAGGCTCCCATCCTGGAAATGCTTGTACCAGTGTTTAACTTTACCATGTGAGTAGCCACACAGATTTCGATGAGTGTAAAGTTAAGCATATGCAGAAGTGTTTAGAGGATTATTGCCTGACTCAGTATTACTAAACCTGTCTGTCTTCCACTGAAGGAACTGGGTGGGTAGGTGCGTGTTCCTCCACTCTGCAAACAAAAACAAAAAAATGATCCAAAAGGTGATCTAGAACTTGCAAATAGGAAGGAAATTTGTAAACACTTATTCAAGAAATTACTTCTTGACTTGATAGTATCTGATAAAGCAGTTTCTGTTTGCAATTCCTTTGATATATAGGATAGCGTATTATAGGTCAGCATTTCTTATTCTGAGGGAATGAGGTAAAATATTGTATCCTTTAAAAACCTAAACACTTAACATCCTAAACTTCTTCCCTTCTAAATTATTGTTTAGTTTTCAGGTAAAATTCTTCTATGTCTGCCAGATTGCCTATTGGCTTCATGCACTCCCAGAATTGTACTTTCAAAAGATTCGAAAGGTATGAATTGAAAGCTTTGCTACTTTACTTTAAAAATACATTTTGAATTGCTTGATTTGTTTGGTAATGTAATCTTGGTGGGAAACTTAAATGGGGTGCACACTTCAAATAGAATTCCTTTGCCTTACAGAGAGAAGTACAGCAGTGAGGAAGATAAGGAAGGTTGACACATTTCAGTATGGTGGGTTTTAAAGCAGGTTAGCTAAAATTTAACTTTAAGTTTTCTCTTAATTTTAGGAAGATATACCAAGACAGCTATACTATATCTGCCTTTACATTGCTCACATATGTGGTGCCTATGTATTGAAGTAAGTATCTGTAAATTGTTACTAACTGAAAAGCTTTACTTCATTATTCCAGTATCAATTTTTTTTTTACTATTTTTCATGTGGCGCTGCATATTCCTACTTATGGGTACTGTGCCACCTTGTGGTGCTTTACGGTAAAACCTTCTAATAGCAGTGTCCGTTAGATGGCTCTCATGACCTTTCCCGCTCCCCTCACATCAGGACATACTAAGCAAAGGCTATATAGGGGTCGGAGCAACCTCACCACCTCAGATCCTTCCACATGCCTGGACAGATGTGAACCTCTCTGGTCTTTTTGGAACCAGAGCCTCTTTTCTTGATGTAGTTAATGTTGTTGGTATGTAGTTTAGTTAGCAGTTCTTTCCAGTTCTGCATTATGGCAGAATTGAAGAAACAGAAGAACCTGGGTTTCAAAAGGTACATTTCCTGCCTGGCTATCTTCCCAGCATCTCACGACTATGTTCAGGGCCTCAAGTACCTGGGAGAAACTCATTCCTTTTCTAGGTGTTTGATCTGCTGGACCTTTAGTCCCAGAGACTTGCTTACAGCTCCTCCTTTTCAAGAAAGCTCTCGTGGCCAGACCCTCTGGATCTGAACAGTCCTCAGAACCAAGTTCTAAGAGGCCAGTCTTGGTTTCCAGTAGTTCGAAAGGACTGAAGGGTTCCAAGAATCCACACCCTATGCTGGGGCTGGATGCCCCCAAAGTCAAGCTCCCAAGGCTACATGTGTTTGAACCAAGGGCCATGCACTTGGCTCCAGCTGTCCTGACTCTGGTGGAGTAGTCGAGAGAGATTTTGGCCACCATCATTGGTGCCATACTTCATGATTTGCAACTGACTGATCCTGTCGAATTCCTGTGCTACAGGGCTAGGATCAGATTCAGTGTTCACTTTTGGCTCCAGGAAGATGGATTTCATTGGTGTGTCCAAACTGAGGCGTCTGGCAGTCCGGTTTTGGCCCACAGTCTGCCAATTGACTACCCCTGGTATGCCATGCAGTTCAAATAGCTGCCCCCCCCCCATCTCTCCTACCTCTCACTCTTTAGGGACCCCCCTCTCATGAGGCGATTCTTCTTGAAGTGGAAAAGTTGCTTCTTTTAGGAGCAGTCGAGGAGGCTCCTGACTTAAGGGGTCAGAGCTTTTATTCCTTTTATTTTCTGGTTCAAAAGAAGGATGTGGGGGTTTAATTGGATACTAGATGAAGGGACTTGAACAAATATGCTCAAAGGCTTCATTTCCAGGTGTTGACTTTGGCCTCCATAAATCCCTTCACTGTTGCTCATGGATTGGTTCACAACTCTCTCTATCTAAAGGATGTGTATTTTTATATTTCTGTTAATCACAATTATCCCAAGTACTTTGATTTATAGTGGCTGGGCATAATTTCCAGTACAAGATGCTTCCATTTTGCCTCTCCATGATGCCCAAGGTATTTACAAAATGCCTCTCTGTGATAGGGGATCATCTGAGCAATCAGGGTATTTTCAGTATCCCTATGTGGATAATTGGCTACTGAGGGGCATTGTGCATGAAGACCTGTTAAATCATATTGTCTTCACAATCAATCTCTTTTCAGACCTCAGGCTACTTTTCTACTGCCCAAAGTCAATTCTCTGCCCCTTTAAAATGATTGCCTTTATAGGGTCCATAGTGCACTCTGTGGAAGGAAGAGCTTTTCTGCCAGAGGACAGATTTCTCAAAATGAGCAAGCATATGTAAAAGATTTGACAGTGTTCCTCTCAGAGAACGAAATTCTTCTTGGGTCTTGTGGTCTTTATGGCAGCTGCTACATTTTGTGACTCCATTTGCTTGTCTGATAATGAGACTGCATCACTGGATATCTCATGAATACATTAACTCTTGAATACAGACCAAGCCAGAACAGCCTTCAGATGTTGATCACCATGACTCAGAATGTTATAGTCTCTCTATAACGGTGGTCTGTAAGGGTGAATATGCTCAGAGGTGTACAGTTCAGTGCTCCAGTCATCCCTGACAGTAACTTCAGCTACATCAAACAAAGGTTAGGTGGAGCATCTCCATTTGACAGTTCAAGGGCACTGGTCTGTGCAGGAGAGACCCCTGTGTAACGCACACACCTTCTGGGTGTGGTGTTCTGTTCCATCGTGTGTGTGTGTGTGTGTTAAAATGAATCTGCTCTACAGCCTTAGCTAAGAGCCAGCTGGCTTGTAGCTCATGTGGTAGAGGCTCATGTATTAAGCTTCAGAGGTCCCCGGTTCAATCGCGCCCGCTGATGACCGGGTCTCTCAGTGTTACACCTGCACATGAGCGTATTAGTGGGCTATTCATCTGGCTCTCAGATTGTTTCTTCCTCACCTTTCAGGGGAGGGTTGTGCAGCCAGGTCAGGGACAATATATCAGTGATGTATTACCTCAGCAAGCAAGAGGTGCTCACTCCACTCTCCTGTGTGCAGAGGTTATAGGTCTATGGGATTGGTGTATTAGTCACAAAGTTTATCCCATTGCTCTACCTCTGGCAGAGGAAAACAATGAATTCACAGATTATCTAAGCAGAGACAGATCTTGGGTGCACAAGTGGTTGCTAAAGGATCAGTTAGTCCAGACTGTGTTCTCCAGTTGGGGTCAACCAGATGTAGACCTGTTTGCAACAAAGTTCAACAAAAGATTTCTCTTCTGTTCAAGAGTAGGCAGGAACAGTCAGCCCCTGTCAGATGCCTTCCTTCTGCACTGGGAAAAGAGGTTGCTGTATGCTTTCCTCTTGTTTTCCATTGATCCAGAAGGTAGTGAGAGAGCTGTCAGGGCATGGCAAAGATGATACTCATTGTCCCAGTTTGGCCATGTCAGCAGTGGTTTACCAATCTCCTTTAACTCCCTGGAAGTCTTCCTGTGTTTTCCTCTGTCCCAGCAGGAGGACAGGATCTTTCATTCAGACCCACAATCACTTCACCAAATAGTGTGGGCATTCAGACTTTGACTTTACTCTTGAGCAGTCATGTTTTTCATCTGTACAGGATATACTAATTAACTCTTGAATACAGTCTACAGGTCCATTTTAAGCGGCGTCAGCTTCTAGATTTCAGGCTTGCATGAAGGGAAGATCTGATTCCCCTGCATTGGCTTCCATTCCTTGTGTTCTGGAGTATTTAACCCCTGATTCTTTAAGTACATTATCTAGCTTATCATTAAAAGTTCATTTGGCAGCCGTCTCAGCGTATCATACTCTGTCTAGTAGATTGCTGTTTTGTTTGTTCAGTTAAAAGATTTATGAAGGTCTTATCAAATGTGTATCCCCCAGTTAGAAATCCCTGTCTCTTCTTGGAACCTGAATTTGGTGTTTGTCATGCTGGTAAAATTGCCATTTGAACCCCTGGTTGAGTGTTCTACTATTTATCTATCAAAATGTCTTCTCTTATTGCTATCACATCAGCAAGGGGAGTGAGTTGAATGTCCTTATGGCTGATCCACCTTTCACGTCTTTTCATAAGGATAAGTAGTTCTCAGACCTGATCCCAGATTCTTAATTAACATGGTGTCTCATTTCCACATCAAGCAGACCATTAATTTGCCAGGTTTCCCCCCTGCAGCTGCACTCTACTCAGTGAGAATCTGTCCTACATACTTTGGATGTCAGAAGGACCCTGGCTTATTACCTAGAAAGAACTAAATTTTTTGTATATCATCTAGATTGGTTATGTCTTATGCCAAGAATGATAAGGGGTATATGATTTCTTCCCAAACTATTTCTCAGAGGGTTAAACAATGTATTACTGAATGCTACCTACTGGCAAAAATTCTTGTGTCTGCTGCAATTAGACTATTAGACAAGTGTGGCTACCTCCTTTGCTTGTCTTAGGTAGGTGTCTGTTGCTGAAAGTTGCAAGCTACAATCTGGACTTTGATGGAAACTTTCACTAAATGCTATGCTCTGGACTCGGCTTCTAGGGCAAATGCTGGATTTGGCAAGGCAGTGCTTGTCTCCATTCAACTAGGACTCTGGGTCCACCTCTAGGTTAGTCTCAGCACTGTTTATCAGTCTGTTCCATAAATGGGAATATGCAGAGCTGCTCAAAGGAAAAAATGAAGGTTATTTACTTGTAACCAAGGCTCTTCAAAAGAGCTCTGCCTATTCACATTTCCTATCGCCTTCCCCTCTCTGTCAGAATATTTGTTTATTCTGTATCTCTGGCTTTGTGGTGGAAGGAATTGAGTTGATGAGGGTGCTCTATCTCCTATGTTCATCTTGGGTATGTTGTGATGCTGAGGAGGGGGGTAGGAGTAGGAGTGGGAGCATTGAAGCTGGCACTGCTAAAAGAAGGCTTTACGATAAGGCAGCACAGTACCCACAAGTGTGAATATACAGGGCCATCTTGAAGAATCTCTGTTACAAATAAGTAACCTTCATTTTCCATTACAGCCTTCAACGTCTGGGGCTAATTTTGCTGGTATCTCACTATCTAGTGGAGCTCATTTTTCATGCCTCACGTCTTTTCTACTTCAGTGATGAAAACAAGCAGAAAGGGTAATTTTTGCATGTACTATCTTATTTTTATTTTACTACCTCTGTGTCTAATTTTCAGAGCTTTATTGCGATTTCTATTGGCATAAACATGTTTGTGTGCACGTAACACAAAAAGCAAATGTTAGGACATCACACATCCTAAGCTATATCTGTGATCCCAGTATTACTATTTGGTTGGAGTTCCATGAGAGTTCCAGTGTCGTCATGTAGAATCAAGGAAACAGATCTGTCACTTCATGATCATAATAATTTTTCAAGTAATATTTGTTAAAATCGTGTCTAGGGTACATATTAGCCATCTCTGTTGTAAATGCCTACCTGCTCCAATATATTTTTCATTGCAAGTATATTTATGGAGATCTTTGTTTTAAAAACAAGTGCACCTTAGAATAAAAGTAACATGGACACCAAAATCACTACACTTCTCTCAGAATCTATTTGTGTTTTTGAACTTTGTTCATTATTGTAAACCAATATGGTAAACAAAAGAACTGACAGAATTATACCAGTATTTTATAGTAATAAATGCACAGACAGTCTAAACAATGTGTATTACTTTTATGATAGGAAGAAAATCAGTCTTTGCATTATCAGTTTTATATTCTGCTCTTTCTTTGCAAGGGGTGGACAGGAAGTGAAAGTAAAATACTTATAATTTATGGAAGGCAACAGTTTCGAACAGCATATAAAGTAAAATTGTTCTATATCTTGAGTGAATTGCTCACTTATTTTGAGATGTAGAGTTATAAGGACACTTGCATGAAAGCTGGGAAGGGGAAAGACAAGAGGACTGGTTTGTAGAATGAGGGTGGAGGAAATGAACTTTGTGTGAGAGCAAAGGGGAGGAAGATGAAACTTACAAGAAGGAAGTAAGTAACTAATAAGAGGGATGCTCTGCATCAATCTGAACACTTTTTACTCAAATCCTAACCTTCATGTCTGTTTGCAATTCTGCTCCACTTTTCCACTCATATCTCTTGTAGTGTCTCCCTCCACGCTCCTAGCTGTGCAAGACTTGACTGCCCACTCATGTGAGACTTCTACAAATGTCATCTTGCTTTCTTCCACACAGCCTCTTATGCATACACAGTCCTCTTTGAACTAATCTGTAAGGCTACTACTCTCTTCTCCATATCTCTACCCAAGACCTGTTTCTGTCTCAACTCCTAACACCAGCATTTAAATAATTAGGCTGAAGGTCATTTGGAGAAAGTCAATATGTATTAATGCAAATAAAGTAAAAACAAACAAACAACTCTTTCCCCCATTTTTTTTAAGTTGTTCATCTTAGGCTGTAAGTTCTCCAGACCAGGGACCCTATCTACTTTTATTTGTGTAGCACCCAATGTAACAGGACTGCAGTACTGATCAGGACATCTGGCCACTACTGTAATACAAATACTATGTTGTATTCCCCGTTCTGCCTGATCAAACAATGTGTTCTTCAGGATAGGGACAGGCTTCCTTGGATTAGGAAACACTTACCATTCTTTGTGTGCTACCCTAATCTTAGGTTTCCATTCCTTATTTTTATTTATCGCCTTAAAAGATGAGTTAGAGAAGCATTTTGAGTGTTTTAGGAGAACTAAAATGTTGCTGTTTATAATAAAAATAATCTTGAACAATAAACCATCAAGAGCCATTTCTCCATGCGGGCTTCCAGGCTACTAGTAACTTCGTATTTAAGGTTATAAATTCCCACTCTCATAGCTTTCCAAAAACCCTGGCTTATTTTCCTAGGAGGAAAAAAACCCAACAACTTCTGCTTGAGCTGTCACAGGCTGAGTATAGGAGTGTTGGGTATTTTTCTTTTTAAGTTTGAGATTAATTGAACAAGCTGTGTTTGAATTGAGATTCTGAATGCACTTTTCATTTTGAAAATAGTTCCAGTTTTTTATCCAATAATAATTTAAGTGGCATGGTGTAAAAACTTCTGTACTGCTGAAATCTTTGAGAACTGCTTTCTATAGTTTGTTCTCATGGTATTCTCCTAGATTAAGTGTCACCATATCAGTAGGCCACGCCCTGTTCAACTGGTTAGAAACCAAAGCTTTTGCTCTCCAAATTGGTAATAGATGAATTTCTCCCTTACTGACTTCTGTGAGAGGTCTGATCAATCCTCACTGAGACAGCAGCGTTCAGAATGTAAATCAAATCAGTCAGTAATCTCTGCTTACCTCCCCAAATTGCTGCATGTTGGAGGACCTCAAATTCTTGATCCTGGCTACTGGCAGGGATGTGGGACAAGCAATGGTAGTGTCTTTTTTTTCCCTTTGGGCATGCCTCTGGTTCCAGCTCTTGGCTTCAGCAGTGTCTCTAGTGATGGCTATCTTGAAGATCTCCAGAATATAGGATGAGGGTTGATGAGGAAGACTTTAAAGTTTAGTTAGTTATCTAACTTTTTTATTTTAATTGTGTCTTTAACTGAAATATGCTAATGTTTTAAAATAATGGAGATCTTATCTTAGAGCCAACTAACATTTAAAAAGAAAAATAGTTGGGGAATTCATAATAGATGTCTGTAACTTTTCATTGTCTTTTTCAATGTTTATCCACCAAATTTTGTGTTCTCTGCAAGCTTGGATATTAAAATGATGTCACTTTGCTCTAAGTTACCTACAAAGTAGAAAGGTAGTGCATTCTACGTGCATTTCATGTGGCAATACGTGTAATTGCCATTATAGACCCCACATTTGGAAATTTCTAAGCACGCATTTGAAAATAAAATTTAACTTCTATATTGGGGGGGGGGAAGTTTTATTGGAGGCATAATTGAGTGTATATGGATGGGTGGCAGAATTCACTGTTGTGGGTGGAGAACTAGATGTAGAATTCCTGTAATTGTTGTTCATCTCAATATACCTTTCCTTTTCATCTTAAATTTCAGTGCTCAAGGAAGCTTAATAGAAGGCAGCTTTGTACAGTTAACCAAGGGGGAAGACGCATTAATTTTATTATTTCCTTTTCAGATTTACCTTTTGGGCTTTACTGTTTGTAATGGCTCGTCTTTTGACCCTAACCTTATCTGTTCTCACATTTGGATTTGGTCTGGCAAGAGTAGAGAATCCAGGTTTTTCCATAGCAGACGGAAACTTCAATGTACTCACTGTGAGGTATAATAAAGCTAGTAGACATTCATGTTTGAGTAAAGTGACACTTTCAGAATGCTTTCAATATACCTCTCCAAGATGGTAGAGCTTTTTGATGGAGAATTTTCCTGGGTGGCTTTTTTCCCAGGCTTTTGGGGTGGAAGAATTTTATCTTTTCCACAGAGCAGGGACTGCTATTACAAAATACGTGCTAAACATAAGAAATCTCTTTGCTTTTCTTTATCAGTGTTTTTATAATTGAATTGATATGACTACTGTGCAAAAGATCCTGCATAACATTGTGTGAGCTTTTTGCTTTAAACTTTCCCTGGGGTCATTATGAACATACTGTAATTTTGAGATATCAATGCTTCACTTTTGATCAACGACTCTTTAGAAAAACCCAAGCAATCTTCTAATATGCTCGTTCTTGCTTGCTCATTTTTGAAGTCACATTAATTTTCACTGGGAGCTCCGCTGTTTAACCTGTATCCCAACAATCTGTTCATTCAGTAGGTGGAAAGAAAATTGAATTTGTATGCTTTGTCATCATTAAATCTCATTCTTAGATCACTTGGTAGAGGAGGCTGCAATTGTACAATTTGGTACCAGCCACTGAAGGCTGTCTGTTATATTTCCTTGATAAGCCTGGATACTTTCCCCTGGTGTATTTACCTGGAGCTCCCATTTATTTAATGCAGACTATATGCCCTGTCTTAGATGTGCTCCTTGGCCAGATCTGGTTTCCATCAGTGTGAGAGGTTTAAATTCTTCTTCAGGTGCTTGCTCATGTCCATTCAACTTGTGTATGTGGCGAGCACACACAACTAAGTGCTGGAAGTTTTTCCTTCAGCAGTATCCATAGGGGACCAGCTCTGGCGCTCCCTGGAGTGGTGCGCACATGCCAGGGTATATAGGGCACCGCCAGTTTTCCCCCCCTTCAGTTCCTTCTTGATGCCAGTGATGGTGCTGGAATTGTTGCTGCTTCAGCTAGTGCTGTTGCTGCTTGTTCGTACAAACTAGTTATCTCTTGTATTGTAGTGTATATGGTTTTCTGTTTAGTGTTTATAAATCCATTAGCTATAGTTAGAGACTTTGTAGGTCCCAAATGGGACTTTTTCTCGGGACGGGGCATGCCCTGGTCCCTAGGCTTTAAGCCTGTGATCGCTGCAAGAGGCCCATACCCATTAGTGATCACACAGCAGTTGTCTGCGTTGCGTGGGTGAAGGGCACATTAGTGAGAAGTGCAAAATTTGCAAGTCCTTCAAGCCAAGGACTAAGAAGGAGTGCGATATTCGTTTAAGAGCACTCCTTATGGAGTCGGCCCTCACCCCAGCACTGGAATAACACTCCAACTAGGCACCAAGTACAGTGACCTCAGTACACAGCACCCCACCGGGACCATCCACTGACCGGCACTGGTCCACATCCATGGCTCCTACCAAGAAGCCCAAGAAGGCGGTGCGAGGTTGGTCTCCAACCTCCCGCAAGGGAAAGGATAAGACTGGGTGCGATCAAGGTCCAAGGCCGGGCAACTCTTCACTGACGTCAGGATCTCAGGCCCAACCTCTGGTGGAGCGATGTAGCCCAACCTGCACTCCGCCAGCTACCCCAGATAGCAGCAGAGGCCTCCGTCAGCTCCGGGTGCTGTCCACGCCAGAGGCACTGCAGGCAGCACAGGAGATCATGTCCCTCCCTGTGCTGCCCACACCGGCTCCTGCAGTTCTCCGGTCATGGGGTAAACCTGCATTCAGACTGCTTCGGTCCCCACGTCAGCAGCACCATTCCCCATTGTGGGGGATGTCCTGCAAATGCTTGCCCTCCAGTAGCCACCATGCATCTGACTGCAAAAGGCAGATGCAGTGCAGCCCCATTTGGTCCATGAACCTTGGGTAGAGAGGCTCAAGGTGCAGGTCGCCAGCCACATACCTTTAGAGGCATGCGCCCCCCGGCAGGAGTACCGGTCCCGGCACCTGGTATCTCCGAGACCGCGGTACCGCTCCAGGGACCTGTCAATGGATCAATGTAACCGATCCTCGGACCGTTGCCAATCCCCCTAGGAGGGTATCACTGCGTGCAGGTGCTTCCCGGCACCGGGCCCTTTCCGACTCCCAGTCCTGCTCCTCATCCTGGTACCGCTTGTCAAGCGTGAGACAAGCTGTCACGGATCCATCAAGCACCACTTGGTCCCTAAGACCCCGCTCCAGATGAGACTCCAGGTGGAGTGACCGGCATCAGTCGGGACAGAGCCACTGTTCCGCTCTGTCCTGGTCACCTGGGAGCGACTGCTCAGGATCCAGCCCTGGTTTGGAGTGAGGTTCCCTGATGGTGGGACAAGCTCCGATACCAGCAGTACGGCTACGTTGTCAGCACCGAAACCGGCCCCGTGGTTTCAGGCAGTGGCCAGTGCCATGGTACCCAGGGAACCTGCGGGGTTCTCCCAGTCCACCCACTTGGTGTTGGGAGCCTGAGAGAGACCAGCTGCCTCTCTGTCTTCCCCCCCACCCCCTCCAGTGCACAAAGCCTTGGGCGCGAGGACCCTGCAGGCCCAAGAGGGAGCAGGGGAACAAGCCACTGGGCCACCAGTGGTTTGGGGGGACCCTACGGCACCAGACGAGGCTATAACAGGGCCCCCTCCCTCAGTTCCTCTGGATGACATTAAAGTGCACCAGGAACTACTGAAGAGGGTCGCTGCCAACCTGGGTCTTCAGGTGGAGGAGCCTAGAGGACCCCTCAGACTCTCTCTTTGATGTTCTCTGCTCCACAGCATCGGCCAGGGTGGCTCTACCCCTTCATGATGAGGCCTCTAAGATCAATAATGCCCTATGGCAAAGTTCCTCCTCCCTGCCACACATCTCCAAGGGGGCTGACCACAAGTACTTTATGCCATCCAAAGGCCATGAGTACCTGTACATCCACCCTGCTCCCAACTCCCTAGTGGTAGAAGCGGTTAACCACAGGGAGCGACAAGGTCAACCCGGGGCTACCCCTAAGAACAGACTCCAAGACACTAGACTTGTTTGGGCATAAGATTTATTTGTCCTCTAGTCTCCAGTGGAGGGTGGCCAACCATCAAGCCCTCCTGGGACACTATCATTTTAACATGTGGCCAGTTCGAGGGCTCTCTTCCTCAGGCTTCTAGGAAGGAGTTCCAGGCAATTATGGAGGAGGGCACGACTGCAGCCAGGGCAAAGCTCCAGGCAGCATCGGATGCGGCAGACACTGCCTCCCGAACCATGGCCTCGGCCATCGCCATGCGCCGGGCATCCTGGCTGCTCCTTTCTCGCTTGTCCACGGAGGCTCATCAGTTGATGCAAGATCTTCCCTTCGATGGGAAAGCCCTGTTTGTGGAACAGACAGACAGTAAGCTCCATGACCTAAAGGACTCCCGCATTACCCTTAAAACGCTGGTCCTGTATGTTTCTGGCCCTGCCCGCAAGCGGTTTAAGCTGCAGCAACCTCAGAGCCAGGCTAGCCACCCTCACCTGGAGCCTCCCTGTAAGAAATCCAGAGGCTACAAGCGGCATCCTAGCCAACAGCCTTTGCAGGCCTCTCAGTCAAGCTCAATCCTCAATCAGGTGGCAAGCGCTCGTTTTGAGGATATGCCCAAGGGCAACCTACCGGACTATTCCCAGTATCCTTCCTCACCTATTTTTGCCAGGTGCCTTTCTGCTTTCCTCCCTGTGTCGGCATCTATAACATTGAACCGATGGGTCCTCAGTACAGTGGAGTGGGGTTACACCTTCAGTTACTTCCTATTCCTCCTTCCCAGCCCTCTTTCCCCTTCCCTCTTCAGGGACCCTTCTCACGAGAGTCTCCTCGCGCAGGAGGTAGAGGGGTTACTGCAGCTAGGTGCGGTGGAGGTCGTTCCTCCAGAGTACAGGAACAAGGGGTTCAATTCCTACTACTTTTTAATCCCGAGGGCCAAAGGCAGTCTGCGACCCATCCTGGACCTGCAAGACTTGAACTGCTGCCTAGCGAAGGTGAAGTTCCGCATAGTCTCCCTGGCCTCCATCATCCCCTCCCTGGATCCAGGAGACTGGTACACAGCCCGTGATCTGAAAGATACATACTTTCACATCGCCATCTTTGAGGGACACAGACGCTTCCTCCAGTTTACGGTAGGTCCCAAACACTATCAGTTTGCGGTCCTCCATTTGGCACTGCGGGCATTTACCAAGTGTATGTCGATGGTGGCTGCTTACCTCAGATGTTGGGGTGTCCAGATCTACGCATACCTCGACGACTGGCTAGTCAAGGGCAGCTCCAGATCCAAAGGGATGTTGCGAAGTTATTAGCCACCTGCCATCGTCTTCGCCTGTTGACAAAAAAATGACAAAAAAAATCCACATTAGTTCCAGTACAGAGGATAGAGTTCATCGGAGCGGTGCTCGACTTGATCTGCGCCAAGGTGTTCCTGCTGCTGGAAAGATTCAGGGCACTGACAGACCTCATTGCAAAAGTCTCCACATTTCCCCTGACCACGGCCAGGGTTTGCCTGTGCCTACTAGGTCACATGGCAGCATGTACATATGTGGTGCACCACACCATGCTCCGGATGTGACCCCTGTAGCAATGGCTGCTGACAGTCTACTCCTAGTCCAGGGACCTCCTGGAAAAGGTTGTTCCCATCCCGTTGATGGTACTTACCTCGCTGCGATGGTGGACCAACCCCAGGAAAGTCCTGGAAGGAGTTCCCTTCATCAGTACTCCTCACTCAGCTGGAGCACCCACAAGGAAAAATTGGTGGGTGCGGAGCACCCATCAACAGCTCCCCAGCCTAGCTCACCACCGCCTCTGCTCAGCCTCCCCTGAGTGGGCTGACGTGTCCTGCTTCTCCCCCCTCCCTCCCAGTGCTTGCACCGCGAAACAGCTGTTTCGTGCTGCAAGCCTGGGAAGAAGGGGAACATGGTGTGCTTGGGGAAGAGGCAGGGCCAGAGTGGGGATTTGGGGAGGGATCCAATAGGGGCAGGGAGGGTGCAGAGTCGGGGCTGGGGTGGGGCCTGGGGGGTCCACGAGCACCCACCAGCACCAACAAAAGTTGGCACCTGTGGTCAAGTTGGTTTTGGACGCCTCGGACCTTGGCTGGGGGGCACACCTCGGCACCCTCCAAACCCAAGGTATGTGGTCCCCAGAGGAAATGACGCTACACATAAACATCCAAGAGCTCAGTGTGGTGCGCAGAGCGTGCGCGGTCTTCCTACCTCACCTGTTGGGCAGAGTAGTCAGTCCTGACAAACAACACAGCCTTGATGTTCTACGTCAACAGACAAGGGGGAGCACAATTCTCAGCCCTCTGCCAAGAGGAACTCTGTCTCTGGGACTTCTGCATCGGCCACGGAATCCATATAGAAGCGTGTCGCCTTCCAGGTGCCAAGAACATGCAAGCAGATCACCTAAGCAGGGACTTCTCCTCTCACCATGAGTGGGTTTTCCACCCGGAGGTAGCCGGCATGATCTTCCAGAGGTGGGGAACTCCCCAAGTGGATTTGTTCACCACCAGGCAGAACAGGAGATGCCACGGGTTTTGCTCCAGTTGGTGTCTGGGCAAGGGTTCCCTCTCCAATGCCTTTTTCCTGCTGTGGGCAGGAAGCCTGATGTATGCATTCCCTCTGATTCCACTGATCAGCAAGGTCCTAGCAAAAATCAAGAGAGGTTATCATTATCGCCCTAGCATGGCCTCACCAGCACTGGTTTGGGACGCTATCAAGCTTGTCAGCGATCCCTCCATGGCCCCTGCCGAACTGACCGGACCTGCTGTCACAGGATCATGGTCGACTCTTGCATCCCAATCTTGCGTCCCTCCACCTCATGGCGTGGCTGTTGCATGGCTGAACCCCAAGGAACAGGCCTGTTTGAAAGGGGTCCAAAAGGTCCTCCTCAAGAGTAGAAAGCCCTCAACTAAACAGACGTACCTGGCAAAGTGGACGAGGTTCTCCTGTTGGACAGCCCAATAGGGCATCTCCCCTGTGACTGCACCAAAGAATGCAATCTTAAACTACCTGCTTCATTTGAGGAACCAGGGCCCAGCACACTCCTCTATCAGGGTGCATCTGGTTGTCATTTCTACCTTTCATCTTCCAATCCAGGGGAGACAGTGTTCTCCCATGACATGACGGTCAGGTGCCTCAGATGCCTCGAGACTTTTTCCTCAAGTTCGGTGCCTGGCCCCTCAGGGGGATCTCAACTTGGTTCTGTCCAGGCTCATGGGTGCACCCTTTGAGCCTCTGGCCTCATGCCCTCTGTCTCACCTATTGTGGATGGTAGCTTTCGTGGTGAAGCAAGTCTCCAAGCTGCAAGCCCTGACCTTTAAGAACTGCCATACACAGCCTTCTATAAGGACAAGGTCCAACTCCGGCCCCACCTGGCCTTCCTTCCCAAAGTGGTGTCTATTTTCCACATGAGCCAGGACATCTTCCTTCCGGTCTTCTCCCCTAAGCCCCATGAGACTAGTGAAGAGAGGCACCTTCATGCTTTGGACGTAAGAAGGGCCCTGGCTTTCTAACTAGATCGGACAAAGCCTTTTTGTAAGCTTTTCTTCTCTACAGCTGATAGGATGAAGGGCCTCCCGGTCTCCACACAGAGGATTTCTTACTGGATCACCTCTGGCATTCAGACCTGCTATGAGTTGGCATGAGTCTCTCCGCCGCAAATCGTCCAAGCCCACTCAACCACAGTGCAGGCATCTTCGGCAGCCTTCCTGGCACACTTCCCGATCCAGGACATCTGTCGAGCCATGACGTGGTCCTTGGTACACACGTTCACGGCCCACTACGCCATCACTCAGCAGGCCAGGGACGACGCTGGGTTCGGCAGAGCTGTGCTGCAATCTACACGTCCATGAACTCCTACCCACCTCCGAGGGGAACTGGTTGGGAGTCACCGTAGTTGAATGGACATGAGCAAGCACTCGAAGCAGAAAAGACCATTAACTTTTCCATAACTGGTGTTCTTCGAGATGTGTTGCTTACGTCCATTCCACAACCCGCCCTCCTTCCCCACTATAGGAGTTTTCGGCAAGAAGGAACTGAGGGTGGGGGGAACTGGTGGCACCCTATATACTGCAGCACGTGTGCGCCACTCCAGGGGGTGCTGGAGCCAGTCCCCTATGTATACTGCTGAGGGAAAAACTTCCGGCACTGGTGCATGTGGCGAGTACACACACCTAAGTTGAATGGCTGTAAGTAACACATCTTGAAGAACACCAGTTACGGAAAAGGTAACTGTCTTTTCTAGGAGTGATCAGCAACTTTTTAAGATGGACATTTGGTGTTGCTTTGTTGTGTAACAATGTATAGTTGAAACTTTTATCTAACTTCTTATTTTAATCTGAAACTTTCTAGGATTAGTTGCTTGGCTGCAATTTGTCTAACACAGGCCTGGATGATGTGGAAATTTATAAATTTCCAGCTAAAGAAATGGAGAGAGCATATCCAGAACCAGATTCCTAAGAAAAAAATAACTTACACAAAGAGTAAATCAACAAAAAAAGAACCAAACAGAGGTCAGTAGGGTTTTTTTAATTCACTTCAGATATATACTATAAATATTTTTATGCTTGATTTGTTCTTGAAATCTTTTTGTATTTTCCTTGTATCAATTCCCAAGGAAGCTAACGTGTGGTCCATTTCTTATTATATGGTGAAAATAGATGTCATTTTTCAGTTCCTCAAAGTTAGAAAATAGTTTCCTTCAAAATATACTTACTCATGGTACGCTGTATTGCATGTTGCTAACTCGAGCCAGCAGAAAGACAATACTGCATATAATAAAAACCTAAATTAACAAAAGCCCACAGAGCTAATGTTCTTTCTAGAGTTGATGTCCTTTAGTGAACTCTGCACAGATACAGATTCCACAAATTCTGCATATTACTAGGTTGAAAAGTTTAAAAAAATTAGTCTTAAAAGTTCTATTACAACTTTAGAATACATCTTTTTGAATGCTTACAAATAAAAACTGTACGTTGTCTATTTTATCCTGATTAGTGAGGCTTTTAAGGTGGCCGTTTTTTTCTCGATGACCATAAATTCTACTTTTATTTAATTTTAGGTAATTAACAAATTGCTGTCACTTATTCTTCTAAATTCAACACCAAATTACAGAGACTTCTTTTTATAGTGACAATTGGACCCTTTAAAAAAAAAAAAAACTACTGTGAAATTAAATTGTAATCACTAGGGGACCTGTAATGAACAAAGATTTCCTATTATAGTGCATAGGCAAGATTTGGAAGAAAATTACATCTAGTAGGAGAACTAACCCTATTTGGCAGAAGTAGGCTGGGAGTCTTCACCTGTAAGATCCAGTAGAGTGCTCTCATGAGAAGCCTATTACCAGTTGCTGGAATTTCTACCAGGATGCTGTCTCTGGACCCTTTTTGGGAGCTCCCTTGTTCATATCTTTCTGTACCTAAGAGGCTGTGGTACTTCAGATTTAGATACACTACTAAGCACATACTCTAGTGCCCCTGGAAGTCAATGGAAATACTCCCATTGATCTTAATGGGTGTCGGAGAAGCAGCTTTTACTCTCCACTACCTTTCAGAGCCTTCAAGCTGCTGTAAAAGAAGTGTGTCTGCTTCTCTACTTCTCCTCCAGCCTTGTGGATCCTTCTCTTTTTTTCCTATGTATAACTACACTGCTGCTCTTTATTGTTTTTCCATACAGAAGCATGAAATTGACACTATTCTTGAGCTTCACAGCTGCCCACAGTATTTTAAATAGCAACAGTGAAACTGTAATCTTGTGGACTTCACACTCTGCTGTAGGTGGGAAAATCAATGACCAGGAGAGGTTGAACGTCTGTAGGTGCAGGAGGACAACACTGCATTGGTTTACACTTACCCTTACCCTTGCAATCATAAGGGCTAGAAATGTGGGGTGGGGGAGGGTTGTTTTGGTTTGTTTTTGTTTTGGTTTGTTTAAATCTGATTCTGCTGAAGTTGATGGTGGTGGTCCCCTAAATCCCTAGGCCAAGCTTCCCACTTGCTTAGAGTGAGTGGATTTTTCAAGCTCTGAATAGAGGGATCTAGGCTAGCTTGAAGTTAACTCATACAGGTTGATTCGCAGTGACTGCATAAGATATTAATACTATGGGACAAATATCGTAGGTTACCATAGACTTTTATTGTGTTAGCATTGATAGTTCACACACAACTATAGTAAAACAAAATCTTCAGGTTCCATCCTCCACTGGCAAAAGGAATGATAGGGAGAGTTAGTAGGTAAGTATTCTATAAGTCCTTCAAAACATTACCTTGTTCCACCTCTCTACTGGAAGACCCCAGAACTTTGCCTAAATTTAGTGTTGAATATTGTCATCTGATGTTTTTAGGTTTGCATATCAACTTTTTGTTCTACAGAGGCAAATAGCATTTTACCTGTACTTTAGCTTTCCCTGTTTTAAAATTTCAGCTAACTTTGTCAATGGAGCAGTAAAATTAGAAGATGGAGCATCGCCCAGAACCAGAAAATCAAAAGTATTATGAGATGGAAGCTGAAATCGGAAGATGACATATTGACAGAAGACTGTGATTAAAAAATATCTGTCACTGCAGAATCATAGGCTATTTGTCTGTCTTGTTATGATTTAAATGGACACTATCAAGTTAAAATATATTTTAAACACATTTTTATTAATACATAACTTATGAAAACTGGTCACTTTTTAATCTAATTTACTTTACAATTAGTGTTTGCCTCTTTCAGTTTCACTCAACTTGGACAATGAAAATAGACAAATCACTTGCACTTTCTGGCTCTTAGTAGCACAATTCTGCAATGTTTGAGTGACAGACATTTCAGGGGATATTTCAGTCTAAACAATCTGTTTATTTGAAATTTAAAAAAAAAACAACTTGGAAACATTTTCATTAATATTACGGTTTAGAAAACTGGTGGTTTTACAAAACCTAAATTCTGGGCCAAAAATATCTGACCATGTACGTTTAACTTTAAACTTTTGCACAACAGACTCTTCTTTTTATCACATTCTGATATTGGAGTAAGAGATAGTATGTCTGAAATACATGTTAGCATGGCAAAAAAAAAAAAAAAAAGTGAATGACATCTACTTCCCTTCAAAGAATATATAAAACTTGATTTATATAACCTGTTCATCAAGTTCTGACTTAATATACCTAACTTCCTCTTAGGTGATTGTGATATTTTCGGTAGACACACAGATTATTGGATGCAGTCGCCTTGCAGAATTGCCAGTGTACATAGGGAGTTTTGAAATAGATTGTAATGTCTTGTTTGGAAACAAGTTGCCAATTAAACATCTAGGGTGAAATCCTGGTGCCACTGAAATAAGAAGAAAAGCTGTCATAGATTTTAGTGAAGCCAGCATTTTACCCTATGGCCAAATTTTGTGAAAATGTTCCCTGGTAATTTTTCTTTAATTTTGGCACTGACCTGTTTGAAAGTTACATGTGGCTTTTTCATAAAGACTATGAAATTGAGTTCAGGAAATGTACTTTCTGTAACTGCAATTTTTTTTTTTTAAAGGTGCTAAGATTTTTAATTACATTAGGCTGCCACTTGTTTTGGTTTCAAATTCAGATTTAAGTTTTTATATCTCCATAGCTCATTACTTAAACACTGTTTTAGATATGATTTATATTTAAATCTGTAGACCATTTCAGAATACTAAAGTCTGATGCTAGTATAATTAAGTGGTCTAGTAAACACTGCATTATAGGCCTCTTATCCCCAACCAATGGCATCGGTTTTGTATGGATTCTTGTACTACTTGCCATCCTTTCAGCCAATTGGATCCTATTTCTCCAGCACACAAAATTCTGTTCAGAAAACAGTTGACTTATGCAGTAGAGCTGACTTTATAATATATGCCTTGGGTGCATAAAACACTAGAGATGTGCATTAAATTACACTGTCACATGTTCTGAAGTGTCTGTTGTGGTTAAGATTTAGGAAGAAGGTTTACAGTTCCTTAAGTATTAATGCCACAAAATATCATATATACAACTTCCTTGAAAGAATAGTTATTTAAAATTTATCCATATGTAGGTTTTTCTTTAATACTATTTCTCCCCTCCCTCCCTTCACTGGCTGACCAGGTTCTTTCTCATACCCTATCTTGTGTTCCTTGAAGCAGTGCAGTGTCTTTTAGTTTTTTAGTGAAGTGAAGCAGAATCTAGTAGGACTGTTGAGGGGCCACTTGTAAAAAGTTCAGCTGTATCTACCCAATTTCTCCCACTAGAAACTGGCTATAGACCACCTATTCATTTCAGATTGACCCATGCATTCACATACAGTAGAAACAGTTTTTTGGCATGTTCACCTAAGCTACACTCCATTAAATATAAGTATTTGCCACTTATCACACAGCATGTTCAGAGCACTTTACAAGCATAAACCCTCATAACCCTCCAGTGAGGCAGGTAAATAGCAGTGTTCTCAGTATATAAGAAACTGACAGATTAAGTGACTTGTCCAAGGACACAGTGAGGATCATTGCCTCTGCTGGGAGTAGAAATCAGGATTCCTAATTCCTAGTCCAGTGAATGAATCACACCTGACTGCTGACCACACTTCTGTGAAAAGCAAGCGAGTGAGAGACTGAAGGTTCCATATCGTATTACCAATCCCTGGAGCCATCCGATTTCTTAATCTTAGGTGTTGCCACGTTGATCTAAGCGCTTGTTTGACTATGATAACTGATATTTTTGTAAGTTACCTACATTGTCGTGACTGGTATATCTAATGCTATTTAAGTCTTATGAACCCATTTTCTAATTTGCCCTAACTGTTCCCATGTGCAAATGGTATGTAGGAGTATCATGTGTGATTTCTCATAAACCTGTACATTTCTACTAAAAATGTTTACCATGGAACTAAAATATATATTTTTTTAACAATTTTAATAAATGTATTTGTATAATCATGAATGCCTCATTTGATGAAAGTATCATCTTATGAGCAGTTTTGGTGTGACCTGCTTAGTCTCTCTACCATACTGCTCACAAGACAATGCTTTCTCTGATAAGTAACTGCAACTGTAAGTATACCATACATTTAGGTTTTGGGCCACTTTCCAGCTGAAATGGCCAAAAACTAGTTATTATATAGGTAAAATCTTTTACCCCGAGAAGGGAATTCCTACACTAAGGACACTGTGAATACAGGATAAAAGTTATATTGCTTTTACATTACAGATGCAAATATTTTCTTAAATAAGAATTTTTTCCTTTTCCCCCATCCATCGCAAAAACATTCAGACCAAGATTTTCCGGGGGAAAAAAAAGGGGGGGGACGACGACTAAAATTAGGCTACATCTATACCTATGCACCTAAAAAGGGGACAGATTTTCCAAAGCATGGAACCCCCAGCAGTTACAATTAAGTAGCCAGATTCCCAGAATGGACACTGCAGAGTATTCAACACTCTTCAAACTCTGGCCACTTATTTAGGAGCCTAAGTGGTAACTTGATTTTAGGGTCCTGTTTTTTTCAAAATTTTAGCCCCAATCTTTTTTCCTTTAATATTATGGAAACGTACATTTCTAGCACCCTGCTTATGAATTCACTGAACAAAATGTACTTGAATGCGATTCTTGTTGCATGTCATACATAATGGACACTTTAAGGAATCTACACTTCTGAAGTCAAATAATTTAAGTGAAACATTTGAAGTGTCCTTGGCATATAATTATTGTGTGTATACGCACGTACAACATCTGTAAAATAAAGATAGGAATCTCAGTCTTGTAGCACGAGAGAAACTCCCACTATTTCTTTTAAAGGTAAAAATCATTGTTTTTTGTCATTCTGTTGCATTTTTGGATGCTCACTGTGGAATATCAAAATGCGTGAAATGAACTAGGTCTGTGCCTTAATATTAAGACATTTCAGTAAACTTTAAACAACTTGCAGCAAAAAAAAAAAGTTCTTTGCACTTAATGCAATGTGTTTTGACAACTTTACAGTGTAATTCTACATATGTTTCAGTGACTGTTTGGAATATCAAATAATGGAAGATGGAAAGTTGGAGATGGGACGGATGTGGCTTATTCACACAAAGCAAGTGTGACCTGCATTAGGGAGCAGACTCTGAGCTGGCTGTTCTGAGGCAGGGACTTTTGTGTGATGACTGGAAGTGGTAATGACTAAAAATAGTAACTTGATCTTATTGTTCAAAATTCCCTGTAGGTTAATATGTAGACTGATTATTTCTGTTTTCAGTTTTTGTTGCTGTTTGTTTTTTGGAGAGGTGGGTTGTTGGTTTTTTCTACCTGATTTGAGCGTGGGTGACAATAACATGTAAGGGGGAAGGGAAGATTATGGGTTGGGGATGTAGAAGTTAGGATACTAGTAAGACTAATAAATAACTGTACTAATGTTCCCTTTTGATTATGAGTACAAAGCCCTGAACTCACCTAATAATAATTTTTATTGTATTTGAAAGACTAAATTTTAACAATCTTCAAAAATAAGAACCCAATCTCTGTACACTGCAGCCTGTCTTGAATTCATTTTATACTGCCAAATAAAATTTCACACTTTGTTTTGTTCCATGGTGGGAAGAAACTTTGTGACATGTTCAGGACTCATGTACTTGTATTAAGCACAATACTTAGGAGGAAGCTATGAAAGAGGGGTCAGCAATTACAAATTTCCAAGTGATTGACCATTGATTTTTTAAAATTTTGTACATTTGGAAATATTGTCCAACAACCTCTTCTACCATCTTTGAAACAACAACCAAAATACTAAACTAATCTATATCTCTGAAGCTATAACAAAACCCTAATTCTGCAAAGCATACTTAACTCTCATTGACTTCAATGAGACTGATGTGTATAAGTGCTTTGCTACATTGGGGCCTAACTCAAATATATTTAATTCAGGATTACGGTTGGGAGTGCATACTGCCTCTTCATCTTTAAAGCACATTGGTGTCAAGGGTGGAATTCTCAGAGTGCCTAAATGTCTTAAGAGCACTTAGGACTTGTGCCCAGAGACCCAAAGGTATTTAGGCCCCAAACTCCCTTTGGAATCAAGGGGCATTAGAGGCCTAAATATCTTTGAGGATCTGGGCCTTGTATTTCTAAATAAAATAAGCCCAAACTTTTAAAAGTATTTAGGTGCCTAATTCCCACTGATTTCAGTGGGAGTTAAATGTCTAAATACCTTTAAAAATCTGGATCTTAGGCACTTCTGGAAATATTACCCAAAGTGTTTAAGATCATACACTAACAACATGTATTTTATCACAAGTAATGAATTTCCTTGTTTTTGTAGGTTTGTCAGACCTTCACAAAACTAGTTTGATATTTTTCATTTTAATAGTATTATAAACTTAAAATACATTAAAGGCCAAGTTCTGCATCTATGTTTCCTTCAGCCCCATTGACTTAGCTGAGGTTGTATGAGATCTCAGTGCAAAAACTGAGGCAAAAACTCTCTAGTGCTGTGACAACTCTATGAATAGTCCTATTAATTTGTATAAGCATTTTACTTAAATCATAAATAATCTTTTAGTCATTTCAGTCAATTTTCTGTTCTGTCCTGTCCTGTATAGTTTTAGACTTCAGTTGCACGTCAGGAGTCCTTCAGAGGTAAGGTTTATTTGGGGGAGGGGAGCATGCATAGTAAAGTCACCTGACAAAAGCTCTTATCAGTTTCAAATAGAAAAAACTTACTGTGCAAATAACTTATTGTGAAACCAAAATTGGATCCTCTTATTTTAACCCTCAGAACATGAAACTTGTATTTTTTAAATTTTGAACTGTTATTTAAAACCACTGTACAGATTTACTGATGCTGTTTTTGTGGCAGTACTTCAACTAGGGCCTGATCCAACTATTAAAGTCAACAAAAAGACCCCCAACAGGAGTTGGATCAGGCCCTAATGGTACATATTTTCTTTCAGAGTTTGCTTCACTCTAGCTCCAAGATGTATATGAGAAAAACTTCTAAATGCACAATATTGTCAAATAATGAAGCAGTGGTACTTCACATGCTATAAATTTGATTTATTTAATTGGGTTTCCTATTAGATGATTTGGCAGAGGGAGCAATGAACTATGATTTTTATAAATGTATCATCTACATCTTTCAGAGTAACAGCCGTGTTAGTCTGTATTCGCAAAAAGAAAAGGAGTACTTGTGGTAGGAGACTAACCAATTTATTTGAGCATGAGCTTTCGTGAGCTACAGCTCACTTCATCGGATGCAACTACATATACATCTGATTGTCTCCCAACGTTACCTATTGGAATGGCTGCTATATCTAGTTAAGTTGGAGGTACATTGCTACTTGGAATACACTCTCTGATGCAATCATTAATCTGTCTGAATGTTGGCTGCTTCCCCCCCCCTCCCCACAAAACGTAATATATGCTAGTACTGAGAACTGTTGGCTAAAAAGGACCTCAATACTGTAAATGGTAAAGTTATAAATATTAAACCTCTCTTTGTTACTAGTTTTAAGCCTCAGAAGTTGAAACTATGGATTTAACTATCATAAACAAGAGAGTAATGTTTACAAACTGTAATAGTGTCTTAACATTTTTTTACAATTATCCAGTAAAATTCTTATGTAGAGTTGACTCTACACTTAAACCAGCAATGTACTCCATATTATATTGCTCATGAACCATGATTAGTGTGGAACTGTCTGATTGCAACAAATATGGAAGCTTGGTTTTTTAATTGATGTTAAACTGTACTTTCCGTTTAATTTAACTGATTTGTCTGTTCTCTTCCAGTTAATCTACTTGAGTGCTGAAATGCATTGCTTTTTCTAATGCATCAAGAAAAATTACTCTGTTTAAAACATCTCTTTATCCACCACTATATAGGCTAAAATTGTGCTAAAACACCATCAGTTATTTTACTTTTGACCCCTGTAAAGTTTATGTAATTGGTTGTTTGTTTGTTTTTGTTTGTTTGTAAAACATAGCACAAAAGCTATGTTTTCTGATGTATGTAAACTCGTGATTATTCATTTGCTTGGTAAAATGTCTAATAGGAGACCTTGCTCCATAGAAAGTTTTTTGCTGGTATTCTGTAACTGTTTCTGAAATGTATTTATGATACTTTTATAATTCTGTAATTTTAATTTTTTTTGTTGCCATTAAATCCATGTTTTATTACTACACTAAATCAGTTGCTTTTTGTAGTTTGGTCAATTAAGTAGTCAAGCCATCTGAAAAGCACTAACAGTGCCTATGGAGAAAGTATTATACCAAGTGTGCACATAACCATGCAAAGTGCATCTGGGTTTATTCCCATTTTCCAACATTTTATCTCTTTCCTGCTGATAATCTTTGCTTAGTGCCTGCTGACAGAAGGCACCTCTTTCTTCTGTCTCCATGGTACACATAATGATCCTTCTATGCTGGTCCAGACAGTGGTTATGAGGAATTTTCTACATTAGATTTGATTCTCCCCTTCCCCACACACCACCCCCCAGAAGTGCAGCTACACAAATGTATTGCTGCTAAGCCCTTACGTAGACACTTGCACCAATATAAAGCAGGTAAGTTGCAATTTTTACAGCTGTGCAGCATGTCTATATTTAGGCTTTGTTTACACTTAAAAGTTATGTCTGACCCATGCAAATATGTAGGGGAAAAACCATATCCCTGCCTGACATACCTATACCAACAAAAGCCCCAGGGTAGATGCAGTGATGTTGATAGAAGAGTGCTTCTGTCTACATAGGTAATGTTTGGGGATGTGTTGTTCCTAAACCTACAGAAAAAGTTCCATCAGCATAGGCTGCATCTACATTATGCCCGCATGACAACTGTAGGCTCTCCAAGAATTCTAACTCCAATGCAAAGGGGTGCCATCTTCCCAATTACTATATGCAAATAATACTATATATACAGTGCTTTGCAAATGTTAACTCAGTGTAGTATATGCATGGTGAGACCTTCCCAACCCCCCCCCCCCCCCAAAAAAGAGCCTGACCCGTTGACTTTCAATTGTAATTGTGCTCATAGGCTTTTTTGAAAATCCCATCTTCCACCTGAAATCTATTTGGTTCTTTTTTGCTCATGCAGCACTAACTATAGAATTTGCAGGAAGAACATAGTAAAATTTTGTCAATAATGCATGAGCCCAACTAAAATCGACTGCAAAGTAGAGTGAACAAACATCATTTTTCACAACAAAACTGCACTTAGTCATTTCTTCAAATTTAGAAAATTATGTTTGATTCCAGGAAAGAAGACACCCCTCTAAATTGCAGAAAGCATGTTAAGTAGTACATTAAAAATGGATGTGGAGTCAACTAAAGGAGAATCCTCCATGCAACATTAAGGAAATGTGCAGTCTGGGGGGGGAATTAAATCTCATGTTTTAGGAATAGAGGAGGGAAGGGTAGATGCAGGTTTTATTACTGGGACCTGTGGAGTTCTAGAACTTTTTCTAGATTCCTATTTGATCTGCCTCTTAAGCTGAAACAAATATTTTTCCCAGGAGCCTTCCTGAAGCTCTGGAAAATTAGATACTAAAATAGCTAACGTGTAATAGTATTTATAAATACAGCTGCTAATTAACATTTGACAGAACTTTGAGCAAAATGTCAGGCCTCTAGGAGCATAAAGTATCATCCCTTGTAAAGTATGTGTATGTGGATAGTCCTTGGTTGACGCACCTGAGCCAGAGCTGATTCTATGAAAGATAACTTCATCTGAGTAAGCACTACCCTAGTAGGCAAACATGTCTTTTGGAAGGTGCTAAACAGTGATCAGGCTACTGATTACTGTAACTCATAATTACTTTATTTCTGACCAATTGGGGTTCTGACAAAGGAATCAACTTCCAGCTAAGAACTGGATACTTATTTGGTCTACCACTATCAGGTGATGAATGTGTACAATTACTGAAAGTGTGTAAAGGGCTCATGACTTGTCTGCCCAGTCCTTGCTGGTAGCCGAGGCAAGGAGAGCCCATTTTCTTGTATTTGAGGGCGTTTAATATACAAGAGTTCAGTAACTTTATCCATAGGACCATAAATCATTGAAAAGACATCTTGTTTTTCTTTTTTTAGTAATTACTTTTATGCATCCTTTTACCTCCTGAAAAGTAGTTAGGGTGGGGCTCTACTTACTTCCAATTATGGAATTGGAAAGTACTTCAAATGAAACTCTCATTCCTTAATTCATCTGGCTGCACGGAGTCTTACTCTGTTTCTGAAAAGGATGTCTCTAACATGCTCTTGAGGCAGCAATTTGGCTGGTGTTGTCAAGCTAAGTTTGTAGCTTCATCAAGTAATGCTGAGGCATAAATGTGTTGGTTTTTTTTATTGACATTTATATTTGGAGTATACATTATTCCCAGGAATATGCCTACAGGTATCAGAGTAACAGCCGTGTTAGTCTGTATTCGCAAAAAGAAAAGGAGTACTTGTGGCACCTTAGAGACTAACCAATTTATTTGAGCATGAGCTTTCGTGAGCTACAGCTCACTTCATCGGATGCATACTGTGGAAATTGCAGAAGACATTATATACACACAGAGACCATGAAACAATACCTCCTCCCACCCCACTGTCCTGCTGGTAATCATCAAGTGACCACTTTGGATGGGCTATTACCAGCAGGAGAGTGAGTTTGTGTGTGGGGGGGGGGGCGGAGGGTGAGAAAACCTGGATTTGTGCTGGAAATGGCCCAACTTGATGATCACTTTAGATAAGCTATTACCAGCAGGACAGTGGGGTGGGAGGAGATATTGTTTCATGGTCTCTGTGTGTATATAATGTCTTCTGCAGTTTCCACAGTATGCATCCGATGAAGTGAGCTGTAGCTCACGAAAGCTCATGCTCAGATAAATTGGTTAGTCTCTAAGGTGCCACAAGTACTCCTTTTCTTTTTGCCTACAGGTATATATTCCTTAATCAGAACATATAAGCAATCAGGACTTAAAGATGCATAAAAATAAAGAGTTAATGCCCCTCTCTGAATCTAAAGCAAGCTATACGGTGTGGATAGTCTTCTACATTTACATGCAGCCCCTCCGTCTTCCATGGAGCTCCATGTAGGTGAAATTCTGCTCATTTGTTGTAAATTACAGGATTAATATTGATAAACATCAATATTTAGATTTTACATATTTCACCTCTAAACAGTGAAAGTCTCTAAAATACATCTACAATAGTTACACTGAATTTTGAATTCTCAATTATATTTCTACAGCATCTGAATTATCCTCAACCAGAATGTGAATTCAAATACATATATTATTTATAACATTATGCAGATTTGCTGTCCAAATTAGTGTTATAATCTAGTAGGTCCTACTGCAGTAAGGCTTCTTACCCTTACAATATTGACAAATGGATCTATCCTCCTCAAGAATGTATAAACCATTCCATATTTAGACCTATTTTTTAAAAAAATTAGTGATTTTGGATATTTCTGGGTTTCTAACCTGAGACAATTTAAATTGGTCTGAATCCCAGAAGCTGGGTGTTAAGCACTTTCCAATCTTCTCATTGGTAGTCCAGATTTATCATATGTAGCTACTTTTCAATAGTTAAATAGAATTGTTTCTAACTAGAATACAGTCATCAGTTGCTCTAAGTGTTCTAAAAATTTCAATTTGAAAAGTTTTTTTTTTAAATTAGGTAAATGGTTTATTACCAATTTACACTGATACAAATTTAGAAGTGGAATTTACTCTTTTCCATCATATACTAATAAGATTTAACTTGTAGAACTGCCTTGCGTATTGTAGAAGGCTTATCTTCAAGTACAAGATGCATATAATTTCCATATCTTGAACTACTGTAATATAAATATACAAGATTGTATTTGTCTATGCCTAGTTAATTGAAATTCAGAGATAAAAGTAAGTTTGGTAATAGACAGATGTAGGACTTAACTTACATGCCACATGCTATTTCTTCTAAATAACATAAATTGTTCCAGTGTTAATAATTGTGATTTTGTGATTGCTGTAGCTGCATTTAATGAAAAAAGTTGGTTTTCCTTTCCCCTGCATATACACAGTCTTAATTGGATCATTTCCCCCTGCTTTTTAACCTTCTGAGTATAGTCTGACCTTTTTCCCCAGATAAGGGAGCACAAGTGCCCTGCCTTAATCTCAATCAGGAAACTGCTAAGGAACAAATAAGAGGGCAGATCACCTGCCATAAAATCACTTTTTCATGTCAATATTTGCACAGTGTGTGTTTGGGGGGAAACTCTCCCTCAACACAACAGTGCCTTAACATGAATCCTAAAACTGAGTGAGCTATGGCAGATCTGGTCCCTGTACTAATGCACTCAAATCATGTTGTAACTTAAATCACTGCATTTCTACGTTATAAAAACGAGATGGTGGCTGCTGCTTTTCTCCCCCATGACGCTGTCCACATTCTTTGCTATAACCCTTCACGTAGCAAGGGGCAGCCCTTGATAATCCACTACGCATCTGACCTACTCCAAGAGATGCAGCAAACAGCGCTGAGGTAATCGCAGAGGCGATGGCCACTTGCAAAGCCCTCTTCCCGCAGCGCGGGGCGACACTCACCACTCACAATAGCAACGCCTCTAAGCTGTTTGGGTGATTGTCTGAAACGCCAGTTTGAATTCTGTAGAAATGTTGGATGAGCCCCCTCCCACCTTCAGTTCCTTGACCCCAAAAGAAAAGCTCTCCAGGGGTGAGTGACTTTCTTCAGCTCCAGCCCGGCGAACACGTACGCCTCTGTTTAACTGGGTCCCTGCGAGCCGTGGGGGCGCCCTGGCAGGGTCGGCGCCTTATCAGGCAGTTGAGCCCCTTGTGGCCATCAAGCGAGCCACAGTCCTAGTAACACAGATACCGACGCGAACCTGAAGAGAACCCTCAAGAGACAGACAAAAGCTGGCTGCTTGTCAAAGGGGGCCCTCCTACAAGAGGGCTGTACGCCGCCGGGCCCTCCCACACGGCTCCCCCCCGCACCCTGGGCAGGGCTGCGGCGCTCGGGCCAGCTAGGCAGCCTGCGTGCCGGCACGTCCCTTTTCCTTTGGGAGGGCTGCCCGGCCTCTGTGCGGTGGTCTCAGCTAGGGTTAAGGGGGGTGTGTGTGTACGAGACAAGGTCCCACTGGCGGGACGGGGGGTGGGGGGGGGCACACCGCTCACACAACGCTGTTTTCCCGCCCCGGTACCGGTGTTCTTATTTAACTCCCCAGAACCAGGAAGTCGGATGCCGGAAACAGAATGATTTAAGGGAAAAAGAGTAACAGCCGTGTTAGTCTGTATTCGCAAAAAGAAAAGGAGGACTTGTGGCACCTTAGAGACTAACCAATTTATTTGAGCATGAGCTTTCGTGAGCTACAGCTCACTTCATCGGATGCACGAAATCGGATGGATTTCATCGGATGTAGCTCACGAAAGCTCATGCTCAAATAAATTGGTTAGTCTCTAAGGTGCCACAAGTCCTCCTATTCTTTAAGGGAAAAAAAAAAAAATCCCCATCGAGGCCACCGATTGGCGGGGAGCCGCGGAGGCCACTGGGAGAAGAAGTTTAAAAGGGTGTGTGCCTCGGCGGAGGACTACAGATTCCATGGTGAGTCGCGGTGAAGGGGCAGGGTCGCGTCAGGACTACAGGTCCCGTGGTATCCGGCGCGCGTCGGAACTACACATCCCATAATGCACCGCGGTGGCCGGGCTGAGTCTGGCTGTGGCTGGCGGCGGCTCTCGGAGAGGCTGGTTCCTATTTAAACTCAGGCAAGGAGGAAAATGGCGGCGAGGAGCTGAGTGGGGGGGACTTAGGGAGAAGGAGACGCTAGCGAGCTCTGGCTCCCTTCCCTGGTGGGTACGGCGCGGGGGGGCGAAAGGTCACAGCAGGGGTGGGGGGTTGAGTCCTCGCTCTTTCTCCTCCGCTTCCAGATCTGGGGGGCTGGTGGCAGGGCAGGACTGTTGCTTGGGAGGGGAGGTAACAGTGTGGGGCGAGGGGCTGCGGGGCGCCTCTAGCCCCTGTGCTGGGCGTGCTTCCCTTGGTGGCTGGGGTGGAGGGCGCTTCTCGTTTTGGGGGGCTGAGGGATTGCTAAACCCGCGGGTCCGAGCGCTCTCTCCCTCCCCTTGCCAGGAGAAGTTTGAGGGGTGTGTTTGTGTGGCAGGGAGGGCGCTCCCTTAGCCCGCAGTAGAGGCTGTGGGGCCCGGAGATAGAGGGACTCCCCAAATCCCTCTCCCTGATCAGTACACGCCCTGGCAATTTGGGTGGAGGTCCCTTTTGGGGACAGCCGAAACTACAGGAGTGCTCGGGGATTTCTCTGCTCGCCTCCGCTGAGTGGGGGGCGGTGAATTACTTGAGGTAAACTGGGATGAATAGGGCTCGGTGGGTGGGGGCCGGGGGCCCGTCTGGATGTGAGATGATTTCAAAGCCCTTGTTGTTTTGGTAAGTTTCAAGCGTGGCTTCTAGTCGTTGTCGTCTCCCTCGGGAAACACTGGAATGGATGGGAGGGATTGGCAATTTGAGGTGATTTCCGTGTCTGTCTTGTCCTCTTCTGCCTCATAACCGTGGTGAGTGTATGGTGTTGGGAGATGGAGGCAAGAAGCAGCTTCCGGTGTCTTGGGGTAACAGTGTAATGACTAGAAGGCTAAGGGTGGTGGTGGTGGGCTACTGGTGTGCTTGGCTCTGTGCGGTGCTGTCTGAGGCTGAAATAATTCCAGTGCCTATTCATTCTGTGCTTGCTTAGTCTTGCTGCTGCTTTTCAGTGTGGTGGAAGCTGTTGCTTCCTAAAGCTCCGCACTTTACTCTGCCAACTCCATCAATTAAAATAGCCTTTAAAGCTATTTTTGTTCATTCAGATGGCTCCTCCTTCCCTTTTAAACTGTTAGAAGGAAGTTCAATTTAATGCATGCATACTTTTGTCTAAAAGTTAATACAGAAAGAAAATGGTATCCTGGCTAAAATTGAAGTGGATCTTTAGACAAAACTGTATAGACACTTGCCCATTTTATAGTACTGTTCAGCCCTAAAAACTTCAAATAGAATTTTTTTTAAATTTGTTAAATCATATATTTTAATATAAAGTGTACTTAGTATTGATGACAGGTTTCAGAGGAACAGCCGTGTTAGTCTGTATTCGCAAAAAGAAAAGGAGTACTTGTGGCACCTTAGAGACTAACCAGTTTATTTGAGCATGAGCTTTCGTGGTGAGCTGTAGCTCACGAAAGCTCATGCTCAAATAAATTGGTTAGTCTCTAAGGTGCCACAAGTACTCCTTTTCTTTTTTAGTATTGATGGTGTCTTTGCTGTACATGACACAAAGATGCTTTCATTCTGGGTTTGGGTTTTCTTTGGTACTGCAGATAGCCACAATGTGTAATATATTGTGTTTAGAGGGTGCGAAAAACAAACAAGACTTTCACTAGAAAGTGTCTGATATGAACATTACAGTACTCTTAATAGTCAATAACTAGTGATGGATTTCAGAGTAGCAGCTGTATTAGTCTATATCCGCAAAACGAAAAGGAGTACTTGTGGCACCTTAGAGGCTAACAAATTTATCTGAGCATAAGCTTAAGCTTCTTCTGCATATCATTCAGCCCCTCATTGCTACAGTTAACATTGTTGTTCTCCTGTTAATGTAAATAAACAGGAAGGTAAATACCAGCACATTTGCTGCAGGAATATGAGGTTAAAGGTGAGAGAATGGTGGTAGACTAATTAAAAAAAAAAAAAAATTCCGCCAAGAAAGTCTCTCAACCACCACACCTGAGAAATGTGCAGTATTGAACAACAAGCAACTACTTCGTGCAAAAGTGCTGCTTCCAGCCTTGCTTTATCTTGAAGTCTAGGTTTCTATTTTTTAATAGGAAGATATAACATATACTGTCTGTGGCTATGTTAATGTTTTCAGGTTCAGAGCAGCAGCCATGTTAGTCTGTATTTGCAAAAAGAAAAGTAGTACTTGTAACACCTTAGACTAACAAATTTATTTGAGCATAAGCTTTCGTGAGCTACAGCTCACTTCATCAGTGCATATCACTTATCTGGCACCCACTGTACAGTTAAGAGAAAAGTCAGGATGGGAGAGGAAAGAGCTTGACCACAATAGAATATTCTCTATTAGAGTCCTATGCCTTTTTATAGTCATGCTGAACTAGAGGAGCACTTTACAAGACAAACCTTTATCTTACTGATTTTTGTGTTACTGCTGTATGAGAAAACAAACTGAGGCTTCAGCAAAGGAAGACACCCAGGCTACCTAAATTTTCTATCTAAGATGATATAGGAAACTGTAGTCTGACACTGGAGGTTGCTTCGGGTTCTGCGTTTAAATGAACAGTAATCGAAGATGTTATGATTGCAAAATATCCTGCATTGCACCTTGTGTTGGTATAAGCTGCAGGAGAAATTTCATTGCAGAGATTTAAAAAAAAATAAAAAATGACCAAGGCCCGAGGAGGGAAACGAAATGGTTTAAACTAGAAAAATACTGGACATAGAGTATATAAGAGAATGGAAGGGAGTCCTTAAAGCTGATTTCTGGAGACAATGCCTATTGATAAGACCCGCCTGTTCATTTTTACACTTTTTAAATCTATTGATTTCAACTTGAATACTGTATTGAGGTGCAACTCTGAAAACTATCATTATATGTAAATTCTCAATTTCATCTTGTACATCAAATGTCTGCTACAGATTATATTCCAAATAACTAAACAAAGGTGCATTGAATGGCTTTTTCCCCACTTAAAAAAGGAAAGCTTATGCAATTCTCTCCAAATATCTTGCTTAATTTAAAATGGAAGAGTTTCAAGAATGGATTTACTTTTATGTAATTTGACAACAGTTATCAATAAACTGACTTTTTAAAAGGTAGACAAAATTAAATGAACTTGATTTCAATCAATCAGTGTAGTGTTAAAGAAATTCTTTGTTAAACATACAAAATGACTACTGATAGTTTTAATATTGACATTTCATAATGCAGAAGAGAACATTTCATGCTTTTTGATATGCCTACTAAATTCAAGAAACCTTTATAAGGAACTATTCTACTAGTCAATACTATTAACTTGTTTGTGAAACCATTCTCACTAACTTGCACAGTGTTACCCTTCTGTAAAGCCTACTTAATGGATTGCCTTAGAGAATATCACTTTAAGCACAGGTAGTGGCATGACTTAACTCTTCCAGTGGTCTTAAATTTAGTTTTAAAAGTGTTTTTTTTCCCAATCTTAAAAATGCTAAATTCAATCCTTGCTCTGAAAATCTTTAATATTTTTAATCTGCTAAACAAAGATTTGGGTTCAGAGTTGGTCTAGATCACGAGAAAGGAGTTGTCCTTAATAAGTCTCCAGCGGGATTTGTCTACGTGTCTAAACTATATGGCAGCTTTGCCCTGACTTTACCAGAGGCATGTTGGGGATCAATGACTGAAAAAGCATAGGGAAAGACGAAAGAGTTTGACCAGTTTCTTATGTTCCCATATCTTTGAACAATCTTTTTGCCAGTCTGTGACAGTCTGCTTAACTCTGCTGAGGTCATATCTGATGGGGCACTCAGGAAAGTTAAGATCTTAACTAAAGATGTGAAATTAGAGCATCCACAAGGGAGATTAACATGCTTAATTCAGGAGTGAAGTGGTCTTGGTTTGCTGGAGTTTGTCTTAATGTGCTTAAACTTGGGGTTTATCTAAGCTTAAAATGCTGCAGCAGCACTTCTGCAATTGTCGCCATAGCACTTTAGTGAAGACACTAACTATACCAATGGGAGGGATTCTCCCATCAACATCCATGATACACCTCTCCAAGAGGCGGTAGCTAGATCAATGAGAGAATTCTCCCATCAACCTAGTGCTGTCTAAACCAGCAATTAGATTACATTAAAGGCAGTTAAACCAAAATGCTGCTGCAGTGTAGCTGTGCCGCCGTAGAACTTCAGTGAAGACGCTACCTAAGCTGATAGGAGGGA